AAAACTGTAGAAATATTAAATTATATTTCTTTCTTCTCTGATTGTGAAAAAATAAAATAAACAGGAGCTTCTCTATGCCTTTCTTCTCAATCATATTTTCAAGGAAAATCAGTATCTAGTATTGAAAGCTTTGACTCAGTTCCCTCTTGATATTTGCCTATGTCTGAACCGGAAACGGGATGCACAGGCCAGTATGTTAAATCTTTATTAACGGAGAAAAGGGAACAAAATAAAACACATATACATACAAGAGAAATGTATGAGGTCGCTTACAGGAATCCAAATAGCTGAAGCTCGAACAAGATCAGGTCGATTATGTTCGCTCCGGAAAAATCTCTTTTAAAATTAAAAAGATGCGAACCCCGCTCTGATCACAAACTTAGGGATTCTCTTTAATTGTTCCGGAGGAAGATTGAGTTTAATATTTAACCAGATTTCTCCTGAGAGTATTGTCAGGGTTTATTTAGATCTGTGTTCTACTTCCTAGCTATGAGCGCAAGCCCTCATAGTTAATTACCCATCCTAACGCATTAGAAGAGTACTATCGATTAAGGATGAAATATACTTAGCTTCATACAAGAAGTGTGAGAATGTGCAATAGATATTTAAATTTAGTTATGGGGGTAAAGGTACACCCGATCAAGATCCCATTGTTCCGTCATCCCGGGCATACCGTGGGTTCAATCTACCAACACTAACAACCATTGGTTATAATGTCTAGGGAATCTAATTAGCAGTCATGGGTTGCCTCCTCCCAGAGATCCCGAATAGACTGAAGTGAAAATTTATGAATTTTAGTTTGATTTAATTTGGGTTTGGGCTTATGCCTTCCTTAGAAGTTGCCCATTAATTTATTTAGTTTGGGGCTTACGGTTCCAATTAGGAGTTGCCCGTTAATTTTATGGGTTCTCAGTGTTTTCACAGTTTGGTGCAAGATTGTAGTTATAGCAAATGGATTTGTAATGTTAGTGCAATGACATCAAGGTAGTTTATTTGTGAAATAATTTGCGTATCGTTGTTTGTGACTTTTTTCCCTATGTGATTTCATGATTGCAGCTTAAAATGGTAGGAGAAGCATTCTGTTAAATTAAATGTGTTCACTCATAATTAATTGGGTTAGGTCAATCAAATAAAATGTGGCCTTGAATTCATCTCATGTTTGAGGTCGTTAGACTTTGAACTAGCCTTAGATTTGAAGTCATCTAAAAATCTAAGCTTGTCTTAGAGTTGAAGTCATAGAGCTTAAGCCCTTTTCAGGCTTGAATTTGTCAAAGACTTGACTCACCATAGGCTTTATGTCTTATGAGAGTTTGAACTCATCTTATATCTTAAGACGTTTTTTTAGAAACTTTGTACTTGTCTGGAGCATGAAGTTGTCGAAGAATCTGAACTCATCTCAAGCTATAAGAGAATTTAAACTCGTCTTAAATTTTAAGTCATCAAAGAGTCTAATCTCATCTCAAACAAAGTCAAGGGGTCGCTAAATTCGTCTCATGTTTGAAGTTATTAGAGAGCAAATAACCCAAATCAATATAACCCACAAACTGAACAGTAAGTACCATGACAGCTGATGACAGGAACATATCACCAGGATCTAATTTCAATATCTTCGGGCTATTTTTTTTTTTTTTTTTTTTTTTTTTGAGCCTATTGATAAAGTTGTGCGGATTGAGTAAACTACATTTACCATTTTAAGAAAAAACTACATTTACCATATCTTTATTTTTAATAATATAGATTTTACGAAGTGTTGATCTTTAATTATATAAATGATACAAAAGCGAGGATATTCAGACATATAGAAAATTTTCATCATATAACTTTTAATATGTCGTTTTTCTTATTATTCTACATATTTTGACCTATTTCTTTTGAATTTTTATAGGGTTTTTTTTATCCTTCGAAGTTGAGTATTTTGATGTGTGTTTATTATTTCTAATAGAAGTTGTTATAGAAAAATAAAAGCCCATAAATACGTACTGTTGTGAACATTATCTGTGGATTCTTTATGATTAGTAACTATTAAAGTGTGTGTATTAATTTATCTCAAAAATCTGACTACTTTGCCAAAAGGGTGAAATTTTGAATATTTATGTGATGTGTCTGATTCTATTTATTTATGTTAAAAGTGTTAATGTTTATCTATTTGTGATTGAAACTATGTGAGAAAAAAATATTGGCGGATGTCTATTGATGCTTATGTGTATCCAAGTGAATATATAAGGGGCCGATTCTAAATGAATGAATGATGTTATATATTGATAGTCATAAGGATCTAATATTGGTATGCGCTGGAGTTATAAGAGCTTGATATTGATGTGTACATATTCACCTTGAATGTTTGAAAAGATTTATATTGAGATTTAATTGTTTGGTTTTGCATATATTTCATTTTATTAATTTATTTTTTTATTTTATTTTATTTATTTATTTTTTCATATATGTCATTTTATCTAAAATAAGTAAGGTAATATAAAATACAAAATGATTAGGAGCTAATATATTATATTTGGTATATCATATAAATAAGACGAGTATATATGATAAATTGCATATATATGTGATATCATATAATATGATATGAGCATGATACATGATATTATTAGTATACATATGTGATAAGACTGATTCAAGGGTATATAATTCATATGAGATGTATGACATACATGATATAACTCATTTATACATGATGCAAAACATAACATATATGCATTGATATTGTATTCAATTGATATTGTAACTCATTTATACACAAATCCATTTGCTCCAAAAAAATGATTAAATTCAAACTGAACCTTTAGTTTGGATTTAAACTCGCTGGAAGTCTTTGTTGGAATTTTCTTGTGCTAAAAAGTGTCAAACCATTGCTTTCAATAGTTATATATAGTTGTTTGGTCAAAACAATTTGAATTTCTGCTCTTCCAATTCTTCTTTTGATTTCTTTAATTATTAAAAATATGATTATATTATTAGTCATTAATTTGAAATTCTTACCCTTCCTGATTATATTGTGCAATACTAAAAAGTGAACTTAGTGAGTGTTCATTTTTATTATTTTTGTGCTAACTTTAAAAATTATTATAACGTGCACTTAGTGCATGTACAATTTTAAGATAAAATTCCTCTCTTTTATAATTTTAATTAAATATATAAATATAATGTTATAATATCTTATTTACAATAAAAATTGTGCTTTTTTGGTCAAAATATTTAATCATTAATTTTATTGTATTATTAGTTCTACAGAGAAAAATTATGAATTTTTTAATATTGAATTATAAAATTATATTAATATATTTTTTCTAATATGATTTTAACAAAAAAATCTAACTCTTAATTAAAATAATTAATAATTATAATTATTGATATCGATAAATTTAATATTTTTTAAGAATGATAATGTTAATAAATATTCAAGATATGAATTTTTATTTTAAATTTTTTATTCACGTGCATGTGCATGGGCAATAAAACTAGTTTTAGAAACACCTGATAAAACAGCAGGCACAATAATATAACGGTATATCTGTATTAACGAGCATCATTTCAGTCACCAAATAGCTCAGATATAATCCAATTCCTTACCATTTACGTAATTTTCCGTAAATTTAATGAACTGTATGGAAGGAGAATTCAAATTTTGCAGCAACACATCCTCAGAATCAGACACTTGAGAAGATACAGGTGAGCTCTTTTGCCTCCTTTGAGATCTGACTGGAAGTGGAGTTTGCAGAAGCCTAGCCAATCTCTTTTGCCGAGTACTCCAAAAATTTTTGACATCATTATCCGTTCTACCTTCAAGGAAAGTTGCAATTCGCGCCCATTTGTTCCCAAATCTTGCCTGCATATCGATCACCGCGCGCTCCTCCTCCAATGTGAATTTGCATCCGCTTTTCAAGTTGGGTCTGAGTTTGTTGACCCAGCGGAGACGGCAGGATTTGCCGGTTCGGGGAAGAAGACCGTTGGATTGAATGGAGCTCCAATCACGAGGGCCGTTATTTTTGACGTAGTCCATAAGAACCTTATCTTCTTCTGCCGTCCATGGCCCTTTCTTCATAGTCGCCGGGCGAAGATTTTGGTCGGGTGTGGTTTTGCTCGCGTGAGGGGATCGGCTGGACAGGTCAGCGGCGGAGGCTGACGGGGCTTGATTCCACGATTTGGGTAGGTGGTTTTGTGTCGTCGGAGTTGGAGGTTGGATGTAAGAGGCTGTCGGGGGCGTGAACAGGGAACTCGATCTTCTTACTTGGAAGCAAAACCCCGAGAAACAGAGGGCAGAAAGTTTTCTTCACCAGTGAGTATCTCCTTGCGTCCGGTCTTTTCTTTCCTTTTGTAGTGAATCAAATAGCAGTTTCTGTTGCATATGGTTTTTTTTTTAACGTGGGAACGTGGGGAAGAGAAGTTTTTATATGGCTTAATACTTGCCAGAGGTTAATATTGATAGCAGTTCGGAAAGTCGTGGGAAATACTTTGTCATAGGAATTTTTTTTTTGTTTTGCCCACGAGGTGTTCGATGAAATGCTTCTTGAGTTGGAGATTTGGAATATTATTTGCTTCGTGGCCATATAAATAATTTTAGGGGGGCATTTTATAAGCTTGTAGGGTTTATTAATAATTTCAATTTGTAATGGCACTCCCATGGTCATTATTGACTATATCTAAGAGATTAATTTGATCTCCATTGCATGCTTATAATGACCACTTCAATTGAATACTACAGTTGTCGGAGGATTGACTTTGTTTTGTCAGAAGAAAGCTGCTTCACTTGACTACAAACTCATTAAACTTGTACTTCTTTAATTTGCTAGGAGAATCTGTTAGGGGTTTAGAATTGATGTGATTTAACTTGTAATGGTAGCATGTGCTTCAGATTTGAATATATATCCTGAATGTGAGCTTTCTTGAAACCCCTCCAGTAAATTCCTATCCAATCAGATATTCCCTTATTGAAATTATTAGGTGCGGAGTGTGCACCGTCCACATAAATATGAGTACCTTGCGGTACCCAGCTGATGGGGACATCAGATCATCATGGAGAGTTTAT